GTATATTCTCGCAGCCGGGAGGATCAAGAGCAACACTTGAGGAAGGTCCCTGAAATCCGACCCCTCGCACCTGTGGAAAGACTTCCACTTCTGTGACATCGCAGGTGCGAGCATCAATCCGCTCCTGCGCCATTGCTCGCTTTTGCGCCCTAGATCACCACTTCTGCGCCTCCACATTTGCGACCCGGCTCCCCGCACCTGCGACTTCTCAACAACACGCCACCTTCACTTCTCCGATACTACGTCGGCATCTGCGAACTTGCATCCAAACCTCTGCAGATGCGGAAACACCAGCTCCGGGCCTACTTCAGCAATGCAACATGAGACGAAAATGACTTGAACCACGTCCGTAACTCACTCGAGCCCCTTGGGACCCCGTCCAAACATGCCAACAAGTCCCAAAATATAACACGGGCCTACTCGAGCCCTCAAATCACGCCTAACAATATCAAAATCATGACTCGCACCTCGAATCGAACTTAATGAACTTTGAATCTTTCAACTTCCAAAACTTGTGTCGAACCATATAAAATCGATCTGGAATGGACTCAAATTTTGCACACAAATCCCAAATGACATAACGAAGCTATTTCAATTCCCGGAACCGCAATCCAAACTCGATATCATCATAGTCAACTCTCGGTCAAACTTATGAACATTCCAAAGCTTCAAGTTTCCAACTTTCGCCAATGAGTGCCGAAACCTTCTAGTAATATCCAAATACAAATCCGGGCATACGCCTAAGTCCAAAATCACCATCCGGACCTAAGGGAACCATCGAAACTCCGACCGGGGTCAATTACACAAAAGTTTAACTTGGTCAACTCTTCCAACTTAAAGCTTCCTAGTCAAGAATCATTCTTCCTAATCAATTCCGAATAATCTGAAAACCAAAATCGACAATTCACACAAGTCATAATACATCACACGAAGCTACACAAAATTTCAAATAGCTGAACCGAAATGCAAATGCTCAAAACGACTGGTCGAGTCATTACACCTCCACTGCTTCGCGTTCGCGATCGATTCTCCGCATTCACGTAGAAGAACCGCCCCTGTCCCTGTTTCCCCTTCACATACTTTCGCGAAGCACAATGCATCAGACACGAGATACAACTGAAACCAGCTATATCCTAAGTCCAAAAATGATCTGTAGTCTATCCAAACCAAACATGCACACAAGTGTAATAACATCATACGAACTTGTTCGCACTATCAAAATAGCAAAATAACACCTAGAACTACGAATCAGACATCAAAATGCATGAAATTTTCAAACTAACTCAAGAACTTCCAAATTCACAATCGAGCGTCCGAATCCTATCAAATCAATTCAACTTTGTACCAAATTTTGCAGACAAGTTTTAAATAGTAAAATGAACCTATACCGAGTTCCGAAACTGAAATCTGAACCCAGTAGCCATAAAGTTAACCTACCGTCATACCTCAAAAATCTTTAAACCTTCGAATTACTAGTTTACAACAAATTAAGTCAAATTAAGTTAAGGACTTTCGAATTCAATTCCGGGCTTAGGCCCAATTTCAAAATCACGATACGGACCCGTCGAGATCGTCAAACTACCGATCCGTAGTCGTTTACACAAAATATTGACGTTGTCAACTCAAGTCATTTTTAAAGCTAAAATTCATATTTTCTTCAATTTTTCACATAAAAACTTTATGGAAAAAGATACGGACTGCGCACGCAAATCGAAGAATACTAAACGGAGCTAATAAAGGTCTCGAAACACGGAAATAAGGGCTAGAACTCAAATGACCTATCGGATCACCACATATTTTTAGCAAAAAAGCAACGAGCAGATCTGTATGTTCTATCCAAATGAGGAGTTTCAACACATGATAAATTTCATCGCCTACACCAAGTATAAGTAGAACAAAAAAGTTTTGAACGTGAAAACACATTCTTTGCTCCAATAAAAGTTTTTTATAATAGCGGAAGCATAATATAAACAAAGACAAAAAATTAAAACAAAGGAAGTTTCTCTGGCACTAACTAAATATAGGCCATCGTGGATTTCACCCTTATTGCAAACAAAAACTTTCTTTTAACTTAATTTGGAACTGATGGAGAATATTCACTGCACATACTGGAAATTGGTAGAGTGTTTTTGTTACTTTGTAGGTTTGAAAATTTCTAGAATATTTGATCCTCTCAAACTTTAATTTCTTTTTTTCCCCCTTTATTCTCCATACAGTGAGACTTGAGAGTGTTCTTCGTCAATCATAAAAATGCATCTCTGATGCTTTTCATATTATGGAGAAGATCTACATATACTGTTGTTGAAAAATCCAGTTATGTTATTCAGTTTTGCATTTATTTAGTTATGGGCATAAATTCCTTTTTCATACTCTATTGGGAGTTTCATTTAATTCTTTTTTCTATCAATGTTTTATATTGATCTTGTGTTATAAGTATTTGTTTCCATTATTTGTAAAGTCAATTTTGATTTAACAATTGTGTGAATATCACAATCAATATTTTAAAAGGCGGGGGCATGAGACGAGGTGTTTTACCTCTGACGAGGCGAGGCGTAAGCCCTGAGACATGGGGCGTAAGTACAACGGATCTTTAGTTTTTACTAATTTCAAGAATTTTAAGATAGTATAAAATAAAAAATAATTATTAAAATTACATTAAAATCACAAAATAATAACAAGTAATCTATTTAAAATATATATAAATTATAATTCAACTATGAATAATATGAAAAGTATGACATATATCATAATATGCAAATTAGTTGCAACGTCATTACAACTCAAACATCAAAAGTAATGTATTCGATGCAAAATCTTATATGTATCTCTTAAGGAGTAATGAATCTTGAAAAAATGTTGATATTTTTTTAAATACTCCTTTTATGTAATATGCTTTCTATTTGAAAAGGAATTTTTATAAAAATATAATTCACAGTTTAAATATGATTCTCTAGCATCATTTATTTTTAAGTTTCAATAAGTTAATAAAGTGACACATAATTCACCATACTATACCATGATAACTTATTATTTGCAAATAGTTACTAGCTAATACCGAGTTATTAAATTAATAAATATTGTATCTCGTAAACGTGAAAAAAAATATTTAGGAAAAAAATTATGAAAAAAATTATGGACTATTATATAATAAAGACATAACAACGTTGACGAAGGGAAAGGGGCTTTTTTGAAATGCTAGAAACTTATACGTATATAGATATAGTGAGTGTGGGTGCGGTTAATAAATAAATACTTTTAAATGAAATATTTACTTAAAATTTATTATTATATCCGTCTTAGTGGTTAACGTGCAATAATTTTTATTTTAATTATGCTATAAAATACTTTCAACTTAATAATTAATAATTAAGAAAAAAGTAATTTTGAATTGTCAACGATTTATTAAGAACATTTGAGGATTTACAAGGTTACTTACAACACAATTGCATAAATTCCATTAGGTGAGCCTAGTACGCTGGGCATTGGGTGTGTACGGGCATAAGCCCTGATGGGTGAGGCGTAAGCCTCACAGAACTAAGCCCCACACATAAGCCCAGGGCGTTTTACGAGTGCTCCGCCCCGGGGCAAGTCCCAATCTGCCTTTTAAAATAGAGATCACAATTTCTTTTTTTAGTTTTCTAATACTCTAACGTTATCAGGAATATCACAAGAATGGGTCTTGAGATAATATGAAGATGCTCCAACTAATGTAATGAAATTTTCTAAAAATAAGACAATTTGAAGAAAAAAAATATTGGAAAACTTAGTGGGGGTGGGGCGGGGCGGGGCGAAGCGGGGCGGATGAACGCGGGTGAAAATACTATACTGAGCGGAGCCGAGCGGGTTAAAGTTTTGTACTTAAGACAGAACCCCCGCCCCATTTGCCATCCCTAATAGAAATATCAGGATTCCCTATAAGTTGTAGCAAATTGTTGATTTCTTTAGTGGACGAAAAAGAAAGTGAATTTATTCACTAATAATCTTGTTGGTCATTTATGCAAAGGTTTTATTTGGAATTTGGACTTTGAAAATGATTCTATTCTTCTTCAATGTGAAGATTTCGTGACATCAGTCTGCCACTCCTATACGGTATATATCCCGCAAGTTGAAACCTAACGCCTCACTGGTACTTTTTCCCTGTTCACTTTTATTCATTATTTTTAATTTAAAAAACGTAGAGGACAATGCATTTTTCTTCGGAAAGAGAAAAAAAGAAGAAATTGCTCTGCCATTGTTTTCTCGTCAGTTGAATGTTTCTTAGTGCTTTCTATTTGGAACCCCAAGGGGTCGTTTGGTTGCCGGTTAGAGTTATGCAGGTATTAGTTATACATGTATTAGTTATGCAGGGATTAGTTATGCAGGGATAAGTAATGCAGAGATTAGTTATGCAGGTATTAGTTATGCAGAGATTATTTTTTTGAATGTTTAGTTTGTTGTATTAGAAATTGATATACATTATATAAATTTTAAAGTAAAATGCTTGTTTACAACTATACCCCTGGCCTTCTTTTGCATTGTTTTTTCTCTCTTTCCATTTATGTAGGAAACAATTTAGTTAGGAACTTTGGGTTTTACTTTCACCTCTTCGTCATACTACTGAACTATGTGAAGTTTAGACATATTTGATTTTCACTTCTTAGTTTTGGTATTTTCATTTTCTAGTTGCTTCTCCAGTTTGCTTTTGCTAGTTTGTTCTTTAAAAATGAGAGAAGACAAGACCTATAGTTGGCAAGTGAAAGCAAGTGAAACCTGTTGACGGGTTGGCAGAGAAATAAGGAAGCCTTATGTGTAAAGTGATCGGGGTAAATTTATCATTTCAATATTTTATCCATGTATTACTAATACATGTATTAGTTATTCCATCTTCTACCCCACATAAAATAATACACAGATTGACTCATAACTTATACATGTATTATTTATGCATAATTGAAAAATGTCAACCAAACATGATATTAGTTATGCAGAATTTTATACAAAATAACTATTGCCTACCAAACATGGTATAAATTATATTACCCCTTATACATGAATAACCTTTCTTCTAACCGGCTACCAAACAACCTCTAACTGCTTTAATTCTTTGTTATCTGCGCAGTCATAATCTCTTTCTGAGCTCCTTCTTCCTGTGCTAGTGAGAGGGAAAAGAAAGTCTTTTTGTGGTGCTTAAATTCCAGTATACCAAATTCTAATTAATTTCCTCTCTACCTTGACATCATAATTTTTTTCCATGGGGAAGACAAAGCTTATCTACTATGCAGGTTTCAAAGTGGGGTTTTTGTGGGTGCAGCTGAGGTGTGTAGAGTGCCAAAGAAGGATGATAATCTCCACAGCCCCTTCCCAGTCTCAAAGGGTTTTTCTGAGTATTCTGTTTGGGATGTTAACTGGATTGATTTGTGCACTTGTCTTTGCTTGGCTTGTTCGTAGCTTTGTTCGTTACATAAACAAACCCCCAATTCTCAAAGGCCCTGTTGTATTCTCTCCTAAAATTCCAGCCAAGACTCTGCAATCAGCTCTAATTGCTAATGACGCCCAGTTGCTTGGGTCAAGTAGATACTACAGGACTGTTCTTGACAATGGGCTTACTGTTGCAGTCAAGAGGCTGGAACCCTTTGAGTTGCAGAGCAAGTCTTTGAAGAGAAGAATACAGCAGGAAGTTGAAGTGATTGCTAGTTTGAGGCACAGAAACTTGATGAGTTTAAGGGCTTACATCCGGGAATCGAATAGGTTTTTTTTGGTCTATGATTATGTGCCTAATGGGAGTCTTGAAGATGCAATGAACAAAGTTAGGGAAAACCAGCTGCAGCTTAGCTGGGAAGTAAGACTCCGAATTGCTGTTGGGATTGTCAAGGGTCTTGAGTATCTTCACTTTTCTTGTAACCCTAGAATCCTGCATCGCAATCTGAAGCCCACAAATGTAATGTTGGATGCTGAGTTTGAGCCTAGGTTAGCAGATTGCGGTTTGGCCAAAATTTTGAATCTCCCTGTTGCACCATCAAGCTATGGTCCTCCTGAGAACTGCAGGTATCCAATTATTGACATTAGACTTTGATTAAACTTGACAGTGTAGGGTGGCTTCAATTCTGTTCAGCCATGTTTGATTTTAGAACTAATTCTCTTCTGTTTCACATTGTTAATTTCTGCAGCAGGTATACTGATAAGAGTGATGTATTCAGCTTTGGGGTCATATTGGGTGTTCTATTAACTGGAAGGTACCCAACGGATCCCTTCTTCGGGGATACAAGTTTAGGGCGGTGGCTTCAGCGTTTGCAGGAAGCAGGCGATTCTCGAGAAGCATTAGATAAGAGTATTCTCGGGGAAGAGATTGAGGAAGATGAGATGCTAATGGCTGTTAAAATAGCAGTTGTATGCTTATCAGACATGCCTGCTGATCGCCCTTCCAGTGATGAGCTCGTTTCCATGCTCACCCAATTAAATAGCTTTTGATTAATTAGCTAAATATACAAGTTAATCAAGCTGTTTGTTGCTCGCTTTTTTTTTTTTTTTTTTGGATCCAAATATTTCAAAGTTGTTCTTTTGGCTTTCGCAATGAAAGGGGTGTGTAGTTGGCTCATTCCTGCAACTATTATCAGAAAGCACTTGAAATTATCAGTAATTGATTGATCTTCTTGTATGTAGATTGAGTAATCTTGTTAATCAAGTGCTGTTATGTAACATACTTGCCCACTGATAATAGTATGTGTACATCGGAGACATTTGCATTGATATTCTTTTAATGATGGGTGTTTTAGTGGGGGTTGCTTTGGCTGTCCTTTTGCAAGACAGCTTATGTTTAGAAATCACGACTTCTTCGGGGCTTGGAAAAGCAAGTCTGTTTTTGACATTTCAAACTAGCTCAAAACTTTTATCTCCTTTAATATTGTGGTGGTCCGACACTTGCCACGAAGGATCAATCTGAATTACATTTACAAGTACATCAATTGTTTAGGGTAAGAATTGCACGGGACCCCTATTTGGTCGCCCCCATTTAATCTATATTCATTTTTTTTTTAAATTTTTTTAACTTGTACTTACTTTTTAATCAACTTCAGCCCACTTTCTCCTCATTCGATTTCTTCTTCTTCTTCTTCTTCTTCTGTTGCGGTTGGTGCTGCTATGAAACAGAGGCGGAGCCAAGATTTAAATTTTATGGGTTCAGGATTCTAGTTTTTTGAATTTACTGGGTTCTAACTTAATAATTTATACGTATTCAATGAATTTCGTAGGACAAATATAAGGTTTGAACCAAAATTACTGGGTTCGGCCGAACCCGTAGCCGAAAGGCTGGCTCCGCCCCTGCTATGAAACTTTAGTTCATGTGGGTGATTGTTATAAGTATGTTTATTTTAAAAACAAATTATAAATAACTTTCTAAAGTAAGTTCTAAAGAAGATGATAGTAACTTGTTGGATTCAACTTTGTACATTATCAATGCATTTTAAACTGTTGTGCTAAATCATTGATCTAGTTTTTTAAGTTACTAATTCTAGTTATGATATACTTATTATCTGTACAAAAAATCAATTACATGATAGCATAAAACATGCTGAAGTTCAGCAAATATAGAATAAAACTTCAGCTAAAACATGCTTAAGTTCAGCAAATAGAGAACAAAACTTCAACTACTAGAATGTTTAAGTTCAGCAATTACAAACAAAAACTTCAGCCAATACAAAGTTTACGTGAAAAACTTCAGCTAAAAGATGCTGAAGTTCAGCAATTACAAACAAAAACTTCAGCAAATAGAGACCAAAACTTCAGCTACTAGAATGCTTAAGTTCAACAATTATAAACAAAAACTTCAGCCAACACTAAGTTACGTGAAAACTTCAGCTAAAACATGCTGAAGTTCAGCAATTACAAACAAAAACTTCAGCACACTTGGTTCAACAATTTTTGCTACTTCAGGCCCGTCTACTAGAATGCTGAAGTTTGTGTGATTGCCTTTGCTACTTCAGGCCCGTATGCTGAAGTTACGCGAAAAAGTGGGTATGCTTATAATTTTGTTTGCAAAGCAGGTACAAGTTAAACTTGACCAAAAAAGCGGGTATAGTTGCAAATGCCCCCTGTTTAGGTGTTTTGAGATGGTATGTCAGAAGAAAGTAACATAGGTCCCAGTAAATAGCAAGTTGTGGCATATAAAAAGAAAAAAATAGTTCCCTTGAAACAAAACTTTACTTATTCAACCACTAGTAAAGAATTTTTTCGTTTTGACTTTGTATACTGTTGAAATCGGGTTCGTCTATGCCATGGTAGATCGGGCTCGGAACACGAGGGACTGAAGATCGACCATAAGTCCCACCGGAGCAGAGCCCGAAGTCAGAATGTCTGTTTACGAGAACATTGAGTCCGTGATCCCGGAATCGACCCTGACCCCGAACGAGCTTGAAGAAACATTGTTAGCATAATGTATACGGTCGAAATCATGTGTCCCCAATTTAGTAGGCTCGAGAGGTCGCATCGAGAACAGGTCCAACATTTATCGAGCTCGAGGGCAGAATATGAGGCTCGAAGATCCAAATGTTCGAGGAACATCGGAGCCGAGTATCGCCAACCTCGAGATAATACCGTTATGGATTTGTAACAGAAAGAGCAAGATTCCCGCCACGTCCCAAGATCGTGGCATAAATTTCGGATTAGATTTGTACGAGTTAGTACGAATCCGTACCAAGCGGTTAAATAGCTGTCCTAATAAGATTCCTTACTATAAATAGAAAATGCACCTTATTTTAGGGTCCCCCTACTAAATAAAGGGGACCCCAATCATTTGTAAACCATCATCAATTGTTGGCAAAAGAATATACTCTCTTACTTTCTTGCTCATTATTCATCGAATTGTCTCTTAACTTTATTGTGTTTACTTTCCTGTTCTTGCTGACCTACCTCGAGGCCATCTAGCTCGAGGTCAAGACTTGCTTAAGCACTGGTTTGATTCAACTTTCTTCTCTAGTTTATACGTTTGATTTCTTATTTATTAATTAGTATTGAACTAAATCACGTATCTTTAAAACCAAAAATAAGTTTAATTGTTACTCGTATTTTCGAGGTAAACAGTTTGGCGCCCGCCGTGGGGATAAAAATAATAGTGATTATTTCAATACTGATTCTGATAACACACATTATTTTCACACTTGTTCTTGTCAAGAATTTTTGTTCTCAGGTTAAAACATGTCAAACTCACAAAACGCACCCGTACATGGCGATGATGGCCTTGGATTTCACTGGGAAAACAACAATGTAATTGCTCCGGGAGCCGGTGTACCATTGATTAACCCTGGGGAAGTGCCGAATGTGAAGCCAGTCGATGTTAGTTCACACATTGCTTTGAACGTGGATTTAGGCGCAGACCTCGGAGGAAGTGTATGCAGGGAAGTCCGATCTGGTGGCCAAGGACCGCAGGGTGTAGGAGATGAGGGAGTTAGCCTTCAAGTAATATTCAAGATGCTACAAGCTCAATAGGTTTCTATCGCTCAGCTTCAAAGTTAGCGTAAAACTCCAAGTGTGGTCGAGCCAGAAATCACTCGTCGTACTGAGCCGGTGCCTAAAAGATCAAACGGTAATGGCTCGGGGACTGACCCCACGATTATGAGGATGCTCGAAGAACTCACCAAAAGAATCAAGTCGGGGGAGAAAAAGGTTGAGGATAATGACAAAAAGGTGGAGATGTATAACTCCCGTGTCGATCAAACACCGGGAGCATCCCCGATCTTGAAAGGTTTGGATGCCACGAAATTCGTACAAAAGCCATTCCCTCCGAGTGCGGCTCCTAAGCCTATTCCTAAAAAGTTTCGTATGCCCTATATACCTAAGTACAACGGGACGAGCGATCCTAATGAACACATTACCTCGTACACTTGCGGGATTAAAGGAAATGACTTAAATGATGATGAGATCGAGTCGGTTTTGTTTAAAAAATTTGGGGAAACTTTGTCAAAAGTAGCAATGATTTGGTATCACAACTTGCCACCGAATTCTATCGATTTATTTGCTATGTTAGTGGACGCCTTCGCAAAAGGCACACGCCGGGGCCATAAAGGTTGAGATAAGGATATCGGACGTTTTTGAGATAAGACAGAGGAATGATGAGATGCTAAGGGAGTTCGTATCCCGATTTCAAATTGAGAGAATGGAATTACCACCGGTCTCGGATGATTGGACCGTGCAAGCTTTTACCCAAGGGTTGAACGAGCGGAGTTCGATCGCGTCATGACAGTTGAAGAAAAATCTGATCGAGTATTCAGCTGTGACTTGGTTAGATGTACATAATCGTTACCACTCGAAGATCAGGGTTGAGGACGATCAGTTGGGAGCCCCCTCGGGTTCAGTTCATCTTAATAGATTGGCAGTTAAGGCCCTGGGGGATACAAACAGGGAACCGAGATCAAATAGGGAACGGTATCATCCATATGTCGTAGATCAAAGAAACAACGGTTCGGGGCACAACCTTCCTCAGAATGATCAAAGAAATGACCGAGGAAAAAATTCTCAAGGACTCATGAGTTAGAATGGTTTTGATATACATACAGATCCTGCGGAAGCACCTCGGTTATCGAAGTATAATTTCAGTGTTGATACATCGGGGATCGTATCAGCTATTGGAAGGATCAAAGACACCAGGTGGCCAGGCCTATACAAACTGATCCTTCTCAAAGAAATCCAAACTTGATGTGTAAATATCATGGCACAAATGGCCATAGGACCGAAGACTGCAGGCACCTGAGGGAGGAGGTAGCTCGATTGTTCAACGAGGGCCATCTTCGAGATCGAGCTAAGAACCACTTCAGAGAAAGAGACGCCAACAAAAAAAATTAGCAGGAAGAACCGCAACATGTAATTCATATGATCGTTGACGGTGTCGATGTTCCACAGGGGCCTATATTCAAATGTACCAAGGTGTCGATTACCAGAGAAAAACAAACTTGAAGTTATGTTCCCGAGGGCATCCTATTGTTCAATGACGAGGAAGCGGAAGGCATTTTTAAGCCGTACAATGATGCCCCGGTAATTTCTATTTTGTTAAATAAAATTCAATTTAAATGTGTTCTAGTGGATCCAGGTAGCTCAGCAAACATAATCAGATCGAGGGTCGTTGAGCAGCTCGGCCTACATGACCAAATTGTACCTATATCTCGAGTCTTAAACGGCTTCAACATGGCAAGTGAAACAATGAAGGGGGAGATAATCCTACCATCGAACGTGGCCGGGACCATCCAAGATACAAAGTTCCATGTCATTGAAGGCGACATGAGATATAACGCTCCACTCGGTAGGCCATGAATCCACAACATGAGGGAGGTACCTTCAACCCTTCATCAGATGATGAAATTCCCAACAGTGGATGGTGTGAAAACAGTTTATGGAGAACAACACGTTGCAAAGGAAATGTTTGCAGTCGATGAGGTGACACCGATCCTAGTGTCTTCGGCCTCAGGAAAATCGAGCACCAAAGATAAGAGACAGCCAAATAGCAATCACCGTCCCCAACTTCGACCGAATCGGAGAAACAGGTAATCGAAGAAGATGAGGAGGATTTCCTTACTCCTCGAACTTTCGTTGTTCTCGAAGAGTCAGATGCAACCAAGTAAACGGTCGAGGATCTAGAATAGGTCATACTGATCGAGTATATGCCCGAGAGAAAGGTGTACCTGGGAACGGGGTTAACCCCCGAACTCAGGAAAAAACTTATTCAATTTATTATTGATAATATGGATTGTTTTTCTTAGTCCCATTTAGATATGACAGGGATCCCACAAGAAAACAACACAT